GCCCCGCCGCGCTGTGCCCGCAGACCCCCAAGTGGCTTCCGGAGCCCGCCGAGCCGCCAAGGTCCGGTCTTCGGATCCACCCCGAACCCTGAAAGGCTACCCTGTCGCTTCGACCAGAACATTTCTTCGATTTCTCCGCTTCCCGCAATCTTTCTCCTAGAACGGGTCCTGCGCACGTCAAACCCTCTCCTCCAGATCCGCTTTCGGGGAGAAGCAGCAGGAATTCAGGGCTCGCCTGCCTTGTCTCGGATCAACTACTTTCGTCGCCTACCTAAACGCTTTTCCACTCACTGAGCCCAGGGACTCGCGCGCGCGACCCTCCCCAAATTTCAAGAGCCTCAATCCCAATAAAGAGCCGTGATACCGTGGCTAAATCCTAAAAATGCGATCAGTTCCTTCGATTCCAGCCTCAGATGTAAACCCGTGCTCCCCGCCAACTGCTACCTCCAGCACCCCCCTGCTCTGTCGGATTCGATCTCTAAGCTACTCAGCGGCCCTTCGATCCCGCTTCTGAAAACAGCCCGGATCCTAAAAAACCCAAACTCTAGCCTGGCCGTGAAGCCCAGCCCTAAGTCAAGGCTGATGCACAACCACCACGCACCCCCGCTCCACTCTCAGCCTTAGCCCGGGTCTCCCCACCGCGCAGGAGCCTCGGGCACTCCCGCTGAGATCCCCCGGAAAGGGCCGCCCTCTTCGCTCATTGCTTCCTCGGCAACGGGAGTCGGGAGAGCCCCGCACGCCTAACACGAAAGAAACGCAAACTTTGCGCGGCAGACTCGGGACCCTGCCCCATTCCCCTCAGCGCTCTGCTTTGGGGCGGCTTCCTTCCCCCCTCTAACGAACTCACGCCCTAATTCTCCAGCCAGGAGGGCTCCCTATTCCCGAACCTCGTCGTGGGCCCCTACGCCTCCCCCCACCTCGCAAAGACTCCCAACAATCCGCGGAAAGCCAGTAACCCTACAAACGATCGCTCCTCCCGCGGCTAGCGTCCCTGTGCCTAGCCCCTGCGATCTCGGCTTCCCTGACCCCCAGCTCGTGCCCTGCTGTCCCCGCTGGTCCGCCTGCAAACCCCCACTCGCCCTGGCTCCCCAGGCCGGGCGGGACGCGGCCGCGGCTCCTGGACTCCAGTCACCGGCCCTAGTCGGGGGCTGCTCCCGCTTCCAGCCACTGGAAGGCAGCTCCAGGCTGGTGGTGCGGGGTAAGCCCCGGCCCAAAGGGCAGCCGAAGCAGGGAGAAAGCGAACCTAGAGCCGGCTCGCCGTTCCCAGCCTCGCCCGCTGAGCGCCCAGCCCCGAGCTGCCTGCACCAGGGCTCCGGCCCGCGCGCTGATCTCTACCCGGGTCCCCGGCGCTCCTGGCGCGCAGCTCCCGCCCGCCCGCTAAGGTGTCTTGGGCCTGAGGCGCTCCGAG